CCCGCCTCTCGCCTCTGCCCTTCCCTCCTCTTCACAGAAAAGGAAACAAATGCAGCTAATTAGGGCGGCGTTGGACGTTGGATTATTGAAAAGGCACTTTCTTTTCAGACGATCCCTCATACCCCCACCCCCTTTACGTTCTTTCGCTCTTTAAGCATCTTGCCCCCTCAGCGTTCCCGATTGTTTGTTGGAAACATGACCGACCGTCAGCAGAGACCGCCGACACGACCGATACCACGCGGAACCAGGGGGAGGGGTGACAGGTAAGAGGGTGGTCGACGTCCATAATGACAAAACGTGAAAAAAACTACAGTTTTTAAATTTAAAAAAAATGAAATAAAAAATGTCGCGTTTGTCATAAAAAATTTCCTTTTCGCAGTCATGGGGGAACGCCAGATTCCCTGCATAGAAATGTTGGCAGACTTTCCCAGGACACGGTAGCCGGATCCTTCGACGTGCCCGTCATGCCTAGGGTGTCGGAGCAGACCGCTTCAAGCGCGCAGGAGGTACTGGCAGACAGTTCTCTGGGCAGCAGGCCACTGCCACAGAAGATCGAAAGCGCCTATGAGGTGATCGCCGACGGTCCGCCGCGGGTGCGGCCCGTGGCCGCCGGGGACCGCCAAGAGGAGGGCTCATCGCGTTCGCGCTCCAGCCGTGGCGGGTTCTCTCGAGACTCTGCAGACACGGTCGTCGTCCGTGTCGAGGCGCCTACCAAGCCGACACCCCAGCAGCCCCCACGGCAAACAGCGGGGGCCCCTCGGCAAGAAGGGAAGGCGGGCTCTTCTCGGGTGTCGTCAATAAGTGGGACGCTTCGCAGGAAGTCATCAGCCATCCAGCTGCGCGTGAAAGGCACCGACCCCGACCCTCGGCCAGCTGGCCTAAGTCACAACCTGGCAGGCCCTGCCGCAACCGTGGGGTCACAGCTGACCGTTGCGTCTGGGCACGGGGGTGGCTTCTCTCGACAGCACTCCGTCGACACTGTTCTGGAGGCGCCCCCGGGCGCGCCGGAGGACTTGGCAGCGCTCTTGCGCCTGCCTGCGTCTCCCGGGCCCGCCCGAGAACGCTCCTTTTTCGCCGGGCTGAGCGCCACGGGGAGTTTCGCGCAGCAAAGAGAGTCGCGCCAAACTGTGGCGACGTCACTGTCTGACCGCGGCGTGTTCACCACCGGCCTTGCGGGCTTCCTGTCGACGGCGAAAGCGGGCTCGCAGACACCCTCCCTCGTTGGGTCCTCCGTCGGCACTGCGCCGCTCCACCCACCCACTTGGAGCGTCAGTCGAGACGACATCGACCAGGGAAGTCCCAGCCGAAGAGGCGCCAGCCCGGCCGGCGTCCGTCAGGACGAAGCAAGTCGGGGAAGCGTTGGTCGGGGAGACGCTGGCCAGGGAAGTCCTAGCCGAAGAGGCACCAGTCTGGCCGCCGTCCGTCAGGACGCAGCAAGTCGTGGGAGCGTCGGCCGAGTCGACATCGACCAGGGAAGTCCCAGTCGAAGAGGCTCCAGTCTGGCCGGCGTCCGTCAGGACGCAGCAAGTCGTGGAAGCGTCGGTCGAGTCGACATCCAGCATGGAAGTCCCAGCCGAAGAGGCACCAGTCTGACCGGCGTCGGTGAGGACGAAGCAAGTCGAACAGGCGTTGAAAGTTTAATCCCAGTTGGCGTCGGTCAAGGTGAGGAGGACCATGCTAGTCGAGGTGACGTTGCCCAGGGAAGTCCCAGCCGAAGGAGCACTAGTCTGGGCAACGAGGGCCAGTCCCGTGCCAGTCATGAAGCAGGCGTCAGCCGAAGGTCGACCCCGTCGGCCATGTCGCGAAGATCGCTCACGAAGGAGGCGGCCATTCCGAGCGACGCCGACCGAGCCGTGGCAAGCTCCGTGATAGCTGTTTCTGGGCACGAGACGACGTCCGGGGTCTCGGGTGACGTAGGATCGGCATCAAACGGACGCACCAGTCGTACTGCGGTCAGAGGCGCGACCCCGTCCAGCGACCGGCCTCAACAACACCCACAGGAAAGGGCAGTACACCGAGGACCAAGTGCGGCGAGAGGTCTGTCGGGCTTATTACTCAGCGGTACTGCTTCAGCACAGGCACGTAGTCAACTCATTTGAACTCCTTCTCCCCTCTCAGCTCTCGTCACAAGAAGCGGAGATGTAAAGGTCCAGATACAAAGTGGCACAAAAATTAAGAGCACCCTCGAAACCGACCCGTACTTGAAAATGTCGAGGATGGGGATGGGCGACTTTCACACGAGCACAACACCGGCCGCGGATTGCAAGGGCACCCCGCCGACCACGGGCGACAAGTGGGCAGGATCGTCGGCGGTGCTCTGGCGAGCGCCAGCCGCCCCCAGGTCGGCGAGCCGTTCGGCGAGCCCGCAGGGGCGTGCGGGCGACACAGCGAACCACCAGGACCAGGAGGCGCCGCACGTTGACCGCGTGGGGTAAATGAAGGCCGAATAGGGATCGACAAGAAAGTACGTCTGTTTTTCTCAAGATTCATTCGGCAAATGACGGGAGCTCGGCGCCTGCGAGACTCGGGGTAGGCCAGCCCGCGGTACACGCATGCACAGCTAGCGAGATGTTGCCTACCTACCAGGCGCTATGAGAGCTTGCCAGTTCCGTAACGGCGAGTGACGGACGTACTTTCTGGACGACCCCTTAGGTAACGCGCTTAGCGAGGTATGTGTCGGTGTTACCCGCACTCGATTGACGAGACTTTGTTGCCAAAATGCTACAGTGTGTGGGAGGGGAAAGCCTTCGTGGTGCAGCCCCCTCCACCTTCGGAGCCGACGACGACGCCGGGCCGAGCAGAGCTGAGGAGACCAAGGTCCGCCGTTTTCTCCATAAAGCGACCACCCCTGGCAGTGCCGGCCTCTTCCACTGACCCTGCCGCCGAGGCTCTGATACACCACATCGACAACGTCTTGCCCAAAGGACTGAGGAACCTCCTGTTGCAGCTAGAGAACCACAGTGACTTGGGGGGTAAGGAGGAATGCGCGCAGGGGGTGGGAACTTTCGGGTTAGAGGGTCACCTCTGCACTTATTCAGCAGCGACCGACCCTGGGCATTGGACTGCGTAACAGTAACAACTATTGTGTGATTCCGACAGTGATGGCGCTGTATGCCGTAACTCTGAACCGCCATCGCCGACTGAGCAGCGCGCTGCGGCAGCTGCAGCAGCTGCAGGCCCGCACCCGGTCACCGGAGAAGCCCCCGAAAGTCAGGTAAACAAATCGGCTTGGGGAGAGGGAATAACGAGTCTCTGCTCGTGTTGCTAGCTGGCTAAACAAAGGTCGGCGTGCGGGCGGGTCTGTCTTGGCCCACGGCGCGGCGCCCAACGGCGGCGAGCGGGACCAAAGTCAAAGCCGGCATTCAAGCACCCGTCACTTGACTTCCAGCCAGCCCGCGCGCTCCCGCTGGGGCCGGTGGCGCCGCGGGCTCCTGTTCCCCATGGCGCTGAGGCCCGCCTCGCCACCGCCGCCGCCGCCCCTGCCGCCCACCCATCGCCCCGACCTGTTCTCCGTGGAGCGCTGCCTCCACGACGCGCTCGAGCGGGGCCTGAGCGGGCTGGGCCCCGAGGACGACAGCTGCGACAGCTCCAGGACGCAGGCCGAGTACAACGACGCGTGGACAGCGGACGCCTGCCGGATCCTGGCGGCGTTCATCACGCGCGCCACCGCCAAGCTCGACTTGAAGAGGTGGGAAGTGAGCGGCGGGGAGGTCTTGAGAATAAATTTATCTTACCCTGTCACTCATTTTTTTTTTTTTAGGTACAAGACAGCGTGTGTTGTACGGATCATTGAGAAGAGACAACAGAGATTTTGCTCTCATTTTGCAGCACTGTGGAACTCAGATTGTGATGGCTACTGTTCTGTCATACATGAGACAGACACATTGGTGGCTCATGCTTTGCTCATGTTAGTTTACTGGGATTGAATTCATTGAATGCATGTACTTAATTTACTGTTTACTGGTTTAACATAGATAAATAAAAGGTCAATACTGACATTAGTTTGGATTCCTTTTTGCAGATTTATTTGTTGAAAAATGGTGCTTACAGGGTTATAATCCAACTTACAAGATATAGTTACGATCTGGATCCAAATAAAACTTTCTAAAATGAATTAGCTGTTGGTAACACCTGATTAAAAGCTAAACTGATGAAAATTGCACATTTTGAAAGGACATTACATAAATGCTCATTCATTCTCCCTCTTATATGGTTTCTCTTTGTTAAAATCTATTTCAAATAGAAAAATTATATGAGAACTTTATGCATACTATGATGATCACAGCATAAGCCCAAAGCCTATTTCCGAGAGTTGGAAATTCAAAGACTTGTTCGGCAAAGCTGACACCAATAATGACCTAAAAAAACACTTATAAATCTAACTGTACAAGTCATCATCACCGTCATCTTGGAAGGTACCACCTTGGTCACCACCAGTTCCACCACCAGCGGTATTTCCAGGTGCTGCGTTGGGGAACCTGTAAATAAATAAATTAAGAATTAAATAAATCCTTCACACACAGCAAAAGTGAATAGGCACTTGACAAGATGGAAATAGTAAGTACATCTTGAGTACACCAGATAAGACTTACCGGAAGTTGGTTCCAAAACCACGGGACTGCTGGAGTGTTTGTGAAAACATCTCATACTTGCGAATATCATTATCAGAAACTGATCGCCGAGCAAAGCGCATGGCTTCCTCAAAATGAGCCTTTGTGATTTCTGGAACTGGGTCCTCCTCATCCATCTACAAAAATAGATAACAAGCATTGGTGACTAACTTGAAAATATATTGAATAAACAAAACAAGCAATGAAAATACTCACATCCATAGCAGCATTTGCATTAGCAGCTCTCTCACGTTCTCTCCTGATCTCCGCTTCAATGCACTGGCGAATAGCCAACTTACATGCCCGTTGACAGATTTCAGTCAAATCAGCACCAGAGAAGCCATGTGTCACCTTGGCAATGTATGTCATATCCACTTCAGGAGCAACAGGAGACTTCCGCATGTTTGCCTTGATGATGGCCTCTCGAGACTTCTCGTCTGGCAAGGGAATGTAAATCAGCTGATCAAGTCTTCCAGGACGGAGAATGGCGGGATCAATGATGTCTGGTCTGTTGGTAGCTCCAATGATGAAGACGTTTTTCTTAGCACCCATGCCATCCATTTCAGTAAGAATCTGGTTAATAACTCTGTCAGCAGCGCCGCCAGCATCACCGACATTACCACCTCGAGACTTGGCAATGGAATCCAACTCATCAAAGAAGAGAACACAAGGCGCAGCAGATCTAGCCTTGTCGAACACATCTCTTACATTGGCTTCAGATTCACCGAACCACATTGTAAGCAGCTCAGGTCCTTTCACAGAAATGAAATTAGCCTGACACTCATTAGCAATAGCCTTGGCCAAGAGTGTTTTACCACAACCAGGTGGCCCATAGAACAAGACACCACGAGATGGCTGCATGCCAAACTTAAGGAACTTGTCAGGATGTTCAACAGGATACTGGACAAGTTCTTGGAGCTCACGCTTGACATTCTCCAATCCTCCAATGTCTTTCCATGAGACATTTGGCACTTCAACCACAGTCTCACGCAGAGCACTAGGACTACTCTTGCCCATGGCATACCTGAAGTTCTCCATTGTGACAGCCAAAGAGTTCAAAACTTCAGCATCAATTTGATCATCATCAAGATCAATTAGATCCATCTTCTCACGAATTTGCTGGAGAGCAGATTCTGAGCAAAGTGAGGCCAAATCAGCACCAACATGACCATGAGTTTCGGCAGCAATTTGTTCTAGGTCGACATCATCTGCAAGCTTCATGTTCTTTGTGTGAATTCGCAGGATCTCCAGACGACCAGTGGCATCAGGAATACCAATGTCAATTTCCCTGTCAAATCGACCAAAGCGACGAAGAGCTCCATCAATTGAATTGGGTCGGTTGGTTGCAGCCATCACAATAACATGTGAACTTTGTTTCAGACCATCCATAAGAGTGAGAAGTTGAGAAACAATACGACGTTCAACTTCGCCATGCGTCTTCTCTCTTTTAGGGGCAATGGCATCCAACTCATCAATAAAAATAATGGAAGGAGAGTTTTTATCAGCTTCTTCAAAGGCTTTTCTCAAATTGCTCTCAGACTCTCCAGCCAGCTTACTCATGATCTCTGGTCCATTGATTAGGAAGAAGAAAGCACCGGTCTCATTAGCCACAGCTCTCGCTATCAATGTTTTTCCTGTACCAGGAGGTCCGTACAGTAGAATACCTCGAGGTGGTTTCACACCAATAGCCTTGAACAGACTAGGATGACGCAAGGGCAATTCAACCATTTCCTTAATTTGTGCAAGCTGCTTTCTGCAGCCACCAATGTCATCATATCCAACTGCATTCAAAGCTTCTTCCTCTTCTTCCCTCTTGATTGGGTCACCATCACAATGAATGACAGTATCTGGTGCCACAATGCAGTACGGGGATGGGTCAGTTTCAACTACTTTGAACTCAACAGCTCTCATACCTCCGCGTACTATGAAAGCATCATCCTTGTGGATGGGCCTATATGCTTCTAAGAAATAAGGCTTCAAGTAAACTTCAAACAGATTGCCAGTCAGTCCTTCGACAGTGTCATCAATTGGTAGGACATGGATCCTTTTGCCATATTTGACATCAGGGCATGGCTGGACTGAAACTACATCAGATAGGCGAACTCTCAAATTGTTGCGCACAACGCGGTTCATCCTTATTTTCTCGTCAGGAACAGTCTCATCGGCAAGGACAATGCAAACAGTTTCCTTCCTTCGTTTCCCTTTAAGGAGAACTGTATCACCCCTGAATAACTGCAGCTCATCCATTTTGGCCTGAAACAACACACATACATGAACAATATATGAAATATATTAGTCTGAACTAAATTTCACATTAACCAAGAATCTTACTTGAGACAGAGCTACTACTGAGTTGTCATCATTGACAGCCTCTTCAACAAGAAGCCTGTTGGGACGGTCCTTGCGACGCAAAATCGCTGTAGCCAAATCATCAGGGCTGAAACACAGAAAAGATTAAAATTAAAATTGTGACGTTCAGACTGATAAGATTGATAGAGAAGTTTTAGTCCTACAAGCAGACACCAATTATGGAAGACTTAAAAAAAACTAAAGATTTTTTTTTTTCCCCTTCCAGATACCTTTCTTTTCTCTTGACATTGGAAGAATGAACAGGCTTTGTTTCAGACTTTGCTAAAGTTTTAGAAGTGGACTCATTCTTTTTACTTTTGACATTTGACTTTGAAAAGGCTGAAGTGGCTTTACTCTCCAGTTTCTTAGGGGCATTGTCCCGTTTTCCCACCATCGTGACCTGATACTTTGACAATGATGCAACTGAGAAATCAATTGTCTTTGAGGGGTGAGTGGACAAAGAGATATTGGCAGCCAGCCAAAAATACTGAGTTTACAGACTACCACCTTCAGATTTCTAAATTGAACATTAAGCTTCTGGCTGACAATTACAGTAAACAAATAGTTACCAACTCAATTCTAGAAAAAGGGTGTCATTAATAACAAAGGCCTAAAATCTGAGAGACATAACCACAGCCATAATTTGGTTGGTAGTCAAAATACAAGTCAAAATACAATTAACAATGGAAAGTAAAGTGTACTTCATTCATGGTAGGAGATAAGTAAAAATTGCCACAAAAAGGATGGTGTAGCAAATCATAAATGCACGATGCAAGAAGCAATAGTGAAATAGCTCATAACAATCTGATTTGGACTGTTGGAAGCCTGTCAATTAACCATTACTGAGTGGGTTCAAAAGAAGAAAGAATGGTTGTTACTATTTTTTCTTCTGGTTGGGAGGCTGATGAATGAAATTAATTTAATTTGTGAATTTTGAATTTGCTTGTGTAAACAGAAATTTACAACACAAGATATAATAAGGAAAGAGTTTAGGAGGCAAAAGACCAAGGGTAGGATATTGTTTGAAAGAGATTTTCCATGAGATCGAATACTCAGCTGATTTTAAATGGTACTGATAGAGAAGCGGAGAATATCTGGTATGCTGTAAGTGCACAAGTTCTAAAAATTTTAGGGCGGAAATGTAAGAAAACGTGCTCCAAAATTAGAATAATAATCCAAATTAGAAAGTGAAAAGGCAAAAAATTGAGAGGAGAACGATCTTTTGGATGGCGATAGCAGGTTAGATCATTATTCCCCTTGGAGTACCCCCCCGAGAGAAATTGTGCCGGTGAGGGTATAAATGTGTCAAATGGCCGACAAACGGTTAAAACTCGGTTGCTACCCATCAGAAAGAATATAAAGAGCAAGCGAATGAAAGATAAAATGCTTCGAAATAGTTAAAAACATCCGACATGATGACAATGTACTTTTGACGGTAGACGAGGCATAGGCTAGTAGTACCGTGTCTCGGGTGGCAATACACAAATATATCAACACATTCGTAAAATAAACTGTGGAACAATTTTCAGAGTTCAAAACGACACAAATAGTTTACATACTTCTTTCCATCGGCCATCGTTATCTTCAATGAAAATTCAGAAGAATATTAGGCAAACGTCACCAACGGAGCCCGGCAGAAACCACAATGACTGTGGCCAGTGGACGAGGTTGCCGCTTTGTGCACTCCAGAATCTGTCGACGCATGGGGGCTGTTCCTTTCAATGATACCACATTACGCTGTAGTTTACGAGTACAACAGGAAAATCTAAGCAAAAGCAATCAAAATAGACACAAAAAATTAATTGTTTGACGAAAACTTTTTAAAAAGTGACGATAACTCTTCGGATCATACTTTTATTTTGTCACAAAGATCCCGAACATAACGTCGACGCCTTCTCCCGAAAGTAATGCTCTCAGGATAATTTCAATATGTGACGTGTCTTTCAAATCATGGGAAAGCACGCTTGAATTGTGAAGTTTCAGAATTGAACTCTGATGTTAGAATGTAACTGTCAATAACATTTCACCTTTTTACTGACAAATCAATGGTCTTTTGTAAATAGATGCCTGCGATCAAAGACCAGTTTCTGACCACAAGCAAGGAAGATACCCGTTTCGTCGTCTTCTGTTTATGAATGGAAAAGGAAAAGAAAAGACCAGACAAGATTGACAAACATCAAACATGGCCGGAATTAAAGGTAGTTTTAAATTTTTACCCGAAATATTTTGGCAGATGTCTCGGTGCTTTTCATTTAGCGATTACGAAGGTTTTTATAATGCTTTATGGACGTTTTAAACTATCACAATAACCTGTTTTGGGGGGGTATGTATCATTTCGCTTCCGCTCTTTACGGGCACTTGACAGTACGTTTATTCAGTTGAGAAAAATGTAAACACTCTACCTCAAGTCTGTTTAGGTACCTTTTTGCTCTGCAAAACAGCTGTTGTAATAGTTCCTCATTTCGTTAAATTATATGTCGCTGTTTGAGCAGGTTATCCTGTCTGCCTAACCTTGGTTTAATTTTGTTAAACAGTATTCTATCCATGTTCTCATTTTTAAAAACTTGTCATAACATTTTAAAAAAAAGAACTTCTTTTTTCTCGTAATTTGATTCAAATGTTTTGATTATCTTTCATGTAGTGAGGCAGGTGCTAAACAGTATCTGTTATCTGTGTTTTCTGAATTATGGTCCCTGAAACATTACAATTGATAAGTTTTAGTTCCCCTCAACTAAACCAGTTTTCATTCTTTTCCATGTGATGAATGGCTGTGTTTCTCTCAACATCTGCAGCGTAAGTATGGACTCTGATTAGAATGTTTGAGATCCTTCTTTTATTTCCTTTTTTTTACATTTAGAAATAATATTACTTTTTCTTTGGTAGGCTTGTAGCCTTGGCGTTTGCAGGGTCCATTGGAATGACATTTGTCATTTTGGCTTGTGCCCTTCCTCAATATGAGTAAGTCTGTTATATACTGTTCAAATTCAACCAGTGTATGTTAAATCTATAAATTCTTGAAATTACCTTTCTTCAAATTTTACAGTGTTTGGTGGCCTTTCTTTGTGGTGCTCCTCTATCTTCTGGCACCTGTACCAACCCTTGTAGCTCGAAGATACGCTGAAGATTCAGGTGGTTCTGGGGGACCATGTCTCGAGTTTTCGATATTTGTCACAATGGGCTTCATTGTCTCAGCATTTGCCCTTCCCATAGTCCTTGCCAGATCTCCTTTTGGAAACCCAGTGGTATGTAAAGCCCTTTTTTATGCATGAATATTATGTTGTTTGGATTTTCTCATGACTAGCAAATTTTACATTTCAGATTCAATGGGGAGCGTGCTATCTCACCCTTGCTGGCAATGTTGTGGTATTCCTAACGTTACTCGGCTTCTTCCTCACTTTCGATCAGGAGGATGCTGATTACAGCATGTGGTAAACATTGATACTTATTGGCATTCCCAATCTCTATGGATTGCTTTTGAATATGAGACTGATTAGTAAAGGAATTCAGGTCTTAAATAACTGGTTCTGCCTTTGGATCTATGCAGCTACTAAGTGCAAGTATTTCATGAGTGTTGTGCTTACAATATCGAAATAATTGAGCTGTTTGCAAGATTGAGAATGTTTTCTGGGTTGTCCTGTATCACTTATCCACATTGCTTTTGTATTTTAAGTTATTTTATATGCATCTTAAGTGCTTTAATAATTGTGTTAGATGTGCTGTCAGGGAATTGTCTCCTTTCAGTTTGTAAATGAGATCATCAATAAATTATTCATTTAATCATACTTGAATTTCTATCTTGAATAATGAAAGCAGTTTGATTTTTTTTTTGTTTATTTAATTTCTTAAAAGGATTCTAGAATTTAATCCTGTGAGGATACTGAGATGACCTCAATCCAAACATGGATTTAAGGTAGGCAAACATGGTCTTCTTCTCAGGGTTCTTCCTGATGGCTTCAATAAGCTGTTTGTCTACCTCAGCCTGATCCTTCTTCCTTTCTTCAGAGGGAGCATATTTCTGGAATACAGGAAAGGAAATTTGTAAGAATGCAACCAAACAGTGACAAAGTAGCACATAAGTGACATTGACTTTAACTTACCTCCTCTTTCTTGGCAAAAATTTCACCCTCTTCCTTCTTGGCTCTCTTGACACGCTGGCGGCGGAAGTAGTCATCGTTAATTTTCTCTGGCAATTTCACACCAGAGATGTCGATGGTGGTGCTAGTGGCAATCACAAAGTTCTGGTGCACACGTCTCAGTGGGCATGCATTTACTTTGAAGGGTCCTAGAGGAAACCACAGATGTGTTAGTACTTGGTCATGATCAAAAGTCCTAGCAAATTCTTTATGTGAACTTGACTTCTTACCATTAACAAGGAGCAGACCACTCTTCAACACCTTCATAAGGACAACTCGCTTGCCCTTGTGAACACCAGCGAGAAGAATGCACACAGTGCCGGGTGTAAGGGTTGGCCTGGTGTAGCGCCTGTGTTCTGAGAAGAGTTTCTTGGTGGGGTGCTTGCGGATCCTTGAAATACCAGAGAGAATTAGGAAATGACAGAACACTTGGATAAATTTCAGTTGTAGGTGGGGTGAAATAGTGGAACAAATGAGTTGAACCACATTGGATATCCACCAGTTATCTTGCACCTCCATTTGCCATGCAAACACAGGGTTCGCATGAGGTTTTAAGAGGTGCACAAACGCAAGATAGTGAATGGAACATACCTATTGGCTGTAGGGTAGGCGGAGGTCCTCTTCTTGATCAAGACAACACGCTTGCCACCGTTCTTGTCTCCACCAATGGGCTTCTCAACAGTGCGAGGCTTCTGGGGCTTCACCTAAGGGTTACATTACATCTTAGGTCAGAACTGAACTTATGAAGGGCAGGGGAAGACAAGCAAGATCAAGACCAAAACAAAGCAAAATAAACTCACTGTCTTGGCAGTTTTCTTGCCCATGAATTTCCACAGGGCCTTCTTGTGGTACTGGCGAGACCGGCTGAAGCGGTAGACACCATTGCTTAGGTTGGCGTTGAGACCATTCCTCTTGGTGACGGCACCCTTCGCAGCGCCCTTAGCGGCTGGAGCCTTCTTGGTTTTGGGATCCGCCATCTAGAGCGGGGAAATGAAGAAGCAATTAACACCAGACTGGACAAAATGATGGAACTTGGTCACTACCAACACGAATTAGGTATGGGGACGGCGGTAAGAAACAATAACGGCTTTAAGGTTAAGTTTGACGAGACAAATAGTACACAGACAAAATCAGGGTCGAAGTTCCTGGCTATGATATACAGTAAGGGAAGAATTTCACAAAAGACATCAGTCTTACTACAACCTTGCATTTATTATGGGTATAAGAAAAGGGATATCCACGTAAACATTCAGTCGGTATGGGCCACTAGCGGCTCATGCCGTACACAGTGTGAGCTGGGATATTACATCCATAGTTGTAAGGCTAATGATATAGCAGAAAAAGGGAAGACAAAAAACACGAAATACCAGGAGACATACGATTTCAGTCAGATGGTAAAACCCCAATCTGCAACACAAAGATAAAATAGTTCCTCTCTGTACTACTCACATTTCTGGACGTTCACCTGGAAAGAATTACAAAACGGAAGAGCTTTATACAGAGTCGGTATAACTGCTTCTGCCTGACGTCCGGTCCAGGTTCACCAACCGATACTCAGTCGATAAGCAAAGCATGTGTTCATTCGTAATCAACTACCAACTTCAATTTTTTGTCCTAAAATTTTGAATCATGAACTGTTTAATACCTTCTTTTTCTAATAGCTTTAAAAATCTGAAGTTGTCAAAGTTTTGGTGGGAGTGCGTTTAAGTTGGTAGTCTCTTATTTTATAAACAGTGTCTGTACATATGGCGTCTGCTGTAATACCCAATCTGTCTGCAGACGGATATACTCGTTTTAATGATGACACAATTAATCTCCGAAGAGCTGTCGTCTCAGACAGGGACGGTCTGTTTATTGAAAGCTTTTTTTCAAAAAAAACCTTTTCTACAACACGATGGGTGTATTTTTTTGAGACAATTGTTAGCGAGCGACACAAGCTCAAGCTTTGTCACTTTTGTTGTCTTCTATACTCAAATTTAGTTTTCTAATTTCTGTTGGTGTTTTGTTATGTGTGATTTATATTTGAAACTTTCGTTTCCACCAGTTTACTTTAATTTACTTTTAATTTCTTGCATCTCAATACACTATATGAAACCAAAGTTTTCTACTTTCCTGGTATTTCAACCGGATCTTACTGGATCACACTGAATCCTGTCAGATTACATATACAAACAAAACTATTTAAGTCTCTTTTTCATTTACTTCTGCTGCTAATATTTTTACCATAGAACTATATTTGTGTTATTGTTTAAAAGGGCATGATATTGACTCAAGAATGGACGTCTCCGCAGCTGCTGAAGAACAAGACCTTCCCAACATGATTGGAAGTCAATCAAGTCTGGACCATGAATATGTTACTGATGGAGTATCTGGAGAAGTACGAGTCCTTTCTGACCCAAAAGATGTTGGGAAATCTTGGGAAACTAATTACCATGAAGCTGCAATATTTTTAGAGGTATGTATGTATAGACATGACAAAGATATGTATAATTGAAGCAGCTAATTACTTACATCAGTACTATAGCCTATTGTTTTCCCTGAACATGAAGGAAGGGGCCAATAATGAGAAGTTTGATTCACATCCAAGTGATCCCAAGGCAGTACCAGCATACCTATTAGTGCACAATAATTGGTATTATGGTTTGGATTTGTTCACATCTTCATTGTTATTGATTCTTGCTCTTGGGGAAGACCCTGCAGTGACAGCTTTAAAGGTGACATGGATTCTCGGTTTGCGGAGTATAGAACCTCTACCTTGCACTGACTTATTAAATTTTTGTAAAGGATATCATGTAATTACCAAATTTCACATTCTTCTGTAGCTACCCGTTGCAGCTCATAGCATCATGGAAATTGCTGCATTGATCACCATAGCTGGAGAATTGTTTCTAAAATTGAGATGGATAGGTTGGCGCACAATACTCCGGCATAAGAGAACTGCTATCAAGGTAAACTTTGCTGTGGCTTAAAAATTATATTTGGTTCACTTTAATTCCACCATAATAAATATTAACTAGAAATCGAATTTCACATTTTCTAGTGTTTGACACTCGTTGTGATGTTTTTTGAAGCACTTGTGGTTTTGATAAGAAGATCAAGCCATTTTCGTGTTACAAGAGCCTTCCGACCAATTTTTTTGATTGATACGAGAAGCTTTGGTAAGCTTGTGTAATCTGTGATTCATGATTCTATTTTGTGAGACAAAATGATAATTTTTTCAATGGTTTGACTTAATTGAAATGTGAAACATTTTTTTTCTCATTTTGCTGAAAAATACCTATGGTGTTTATATAAAATTATTATTACTTTAAATTTTTTTTACAGGTGCTGTACGCAGGTTTATTCGCCAAATTCTGCAGTCAATGCCTCCTATTTTAGACATGATGGGACTCCTTTTCTTTTTTGTGTCTACTTTTGCCTTGTTGGGATTTTTCCTTTTCTCAGAAGATCCTCACAATCCTAACTTCTCCACCTTGACCTCCAGCTTTGTCAGCATGTTTGTGCTCCTCACGACTGCTAAGTATGTATGACAAGATGTGTATGTTTTGTGAAGATAAAGATAAAACTTTTACAGAATATAAATGAACGCCTTCCTCAGTTTCCCAGATGTTATGATGCCGGCATATTCTCGTTCAACATGGTACGCGCTCTTCTTCATCTCCTATCTCTGCATTGTCTTGTATGTTCTTATGAATTTGGTGAGTGTGAAGTGAAAAACCAACTACGGCATCATCAGAAGGGAGGGGGCACTTTCACATTTTTCAATACATCTCTGAAAATTATTTCAGATGCTTGCAGTTGTCTATGAAACTTTTACCCGGGTGGAACGAGACAAATTTAGAAAATTGCTTCTTCATAAGCGACAAGCATGCAGGTTGGCATTCAGGCTTCTAGTTTCAAAACAAAATCCTACTAACTTACGGTTTCGACAATTTGAAGGATTGATGCACTATTATGCACCCAATAAGTGTGAGTAATAAAGCTGCAATTGTTAATAAATAACTCAGTGCGGACAGTTTATTTTTGACCCTTGTTTTTTCAGCACCCTTGGATGTACTACTGATGTTTCACTATTTAGACCAAAGTGGAACAGGAGCATTATCTCAAGATGACTTTTTTCGTGTTTATGATGCTGTTACACTTACATGGGAACCTCAATTTGCACATATTCCTTGGTTTCATACTGCTTGGCCTCCACTCCAAAATGTCCTTCAGAAGACGCATGATTTAGTTCATTGGAAGCATTTTGAGCTTGTTATATGTAATTCGTTTTCATTATTTAGCCTTCTATGCAATTTATCTTTGCACTACTTTAGTAAGTTTTGTTTTTCAAATTCATTGATTTCATGCTACAGATGTCCTTATAATTTGCAACGGCATTGCTATGGTCTCCCGAATCGGCCAGGACTACAATAATTTGCAAGAGGCAGCGAGAGCATTTGCTGCTTCATGGGACACTATACTTTTCTTGGCTAGTAAGTGCACTGTGTAATACCTCTTCATCACAAGTGTTTTCATAAAAAGAATAGTGGATTAAAACAATTTTTCATGTTGTAGTATTTGTGCTTGAAGCTCTTTTGAAAGTACTGGGTATGGGGCTCTCCCGCTACTTTTCATCAGGATGGAATGTTTATGATTTTACCGTCACCCTTGCTGCTCTTCTTGGAGTTTTGTTAAATTACATGTTCCCACGGTTAACATGTATTGTTGTCCTTCGACCACTAAGGTAATTTTTTTTTTGCTATTTAAGTATTTAAGCAAACAAGAAAATATTTTTTTATTGAATATTCTTTCTAAAAACAGATTATTACGGCTCTTCAAGATGAAAAAGCGATATCGTGATGTATTTGGCACAGTAGTTTTATTATCTCCCTTGATGTCATCTGCTCTTATGGTGATACTTGTGCTCTACTACTTTTTTGCAATCATCGGTATGGAACTGTTTGCGGGGTATAATTTGAAAAACTGTTGCAAGTATGTACTGATTTTTTATTTTGCAAATTATCTGACATTACATTTTTAATTATGGCTGTTGTAAACATTTTAGTGGGACTCCAGTTGAAGACTTCTACAGATGGAGTGCAAACACAACCAGTTCTGGTGGATATTATTATCTCAACAACTTTGAAAACATAGCTGTTAGTTTTGTCACCCTTTTTGAATTGATGGTAAGAACAGACAGTAAGATGACTATTTTTTGTTTTGTTTTGTATTGCATTGCCAGTGATAATTTTTGGGGGGACTTAAATTACAGGTGGTGAATAACTGGTTCATTGTCATGAATGCGTATGCGGTTGTAGTTCATCCATCCAGCAGATTATATTTTATGCTCTTTTATTTGTTGACTTCAGTTGTATTAACTATTGTGGTTGCCTCTGTGCTTGAAGCATTCCGTTTCCGCATTCAGTACAAGAGACAAACAACTAAGCGCGAAGGTGCAAAATCAGTCAATTTAAACAGTCAATTTTCTTCAAGTGTTCCTTAAACTGTAACCAATTATGTAACTTTCTTCTTACAGAGGAAAAAATGTTACATGAAGAACTGCATTTGAAATGGGAAGAGATTTCTCGTCTTTTGAGAGACCAACATTTACTAGACACTCTTAGGCCACACCTTGTTGTTGGAGTATGTCAATAAAAGTTTTATTTTGTATATTTCGTATGAGAAACTGCTACCGTGGTTTAACAATTAATATTTTTCCAGGGTACTTCTACTTTTATTGGTTGCAGACCAAGAAATAGGGAAGTGCTTCAAAACAGAATGTATCGAGCCGAAATTGAAGAATGGATGAATGAAGCAGCAGCTGCCGAGAAGAGTAATCAAAATGGAAATCAGCAGCTTGCCCATGAAGTAGATGCAGAACATGTTGTGATTACTGAGTCAGATAGCATTGTTCTTGGTGTGGACAGGGAAGACACAATTTTAAGACGTTTGACTCACCGGTAGAGACTTTTCCAACAATTTTGTATTGATCTTATTTGATAACAATTAGTATAACAAAGTACATTATATCAAAATGTAATCTACCTAAGACCTGCTAATTTTGTAACTTGTGATCATTAAACTGTTGTAGTATTGTTTGTAGAGCTAGTCAGAAGATTTGTAGACGTGTAGTTTAATTAATTAATTTACATCAAGCTTGATCAATCTAAAAAAGAAAAGAAAAAAAAGAAAGAAAATTGGATTGTATTGAAACTATGCATTCCTCTTCTGAAAAGAAGTGTTGAATGATGCTTTGAATTTATAGTATTGTGAAGCAAAAACAATTCTATTAGTTTGTTACAAGGGAATGCATGTTATAACGTTAAAAAACAGGGAGAGTTCATTTGCAGTCCTGCAGTTATGTAAAGTGGTACAGGTACAAGATGAATGATTGTATGTTGGACATAGACCAATAGGCTGTCCTAGAAGCCATAGTTCAACAAATGTTGTGATATTTTTTGTAAGAGTTTATCTCTTTGCTTTCAACCTTCCAAAGAGCAGCTTTTTAATTTTTTTTTAATGGAGATTAACTTTATTAAGCACAGGATTTCCTGGAGACCAAATGTATAAGTGTACACATTTAATGAAATTTGTGTATAAACATAACAAAATGAAAAATTTAGAGATCTCATAGTGTAGTGAACTTTGACACAGGAAATTATGAATTCCAGATAAAACTTAGTTACCATAGCTTGTATCAGATAAGTCAGGGCTACATGGTTTCACATTCCATCAATGGGTATTTACACTACATGCTTTAAACACCACTAGATTTGTAGAGTTGTTGTGACAAATTAAAACCTATGTGCAACATTTATGACTTTTTATTAAAAGTTAACTCTGTACAGTGGTTTCAAGGTCAACTGGAAAGGTATAGAATAGAAAGCACCCTGTGACAGGACCTTTGTAGAACTTCAAGTTACATATAGTGATGTTAAGATGGTAAATCTGTGTGAAGTGAAGGCACTTCAAATTTTAATAATAAACCTACACCAGTATGAAAACAAATGACTCAATGACTCATCTCAATCTTTCGGTGTGCAAAGAGAAGTAGAAGTTGGTAGGAGTGATCACATAGATAGTTACCAAAATATTTGGGTGCAATGGCATCTAGTTTATTATTACAAAGTTAATGGCTTAGCAAATTATGTACAGTAATTACATTGATGGCTCAGAATAATTTTCCAAGTACTATTAAACAGGGCAGATGATGAGAAGGAGACAGATTTCTTCTTGTACATTAAGTTTCAATTTAAAAGCCCAAAGAAAGTGCACAATGTTTAGTACGGACCTTGACAAACTAACTTTAATTATTAGCCATAACAACTGGCATATTTATAATCACAGCATAGAAGTTTAAATCAATTATTTTAAAGTTTATTCTACTTAATTAGATTCTACAGCTAAATTCAGTTATCCTTATTTGCCATTCAGGCCTATTTTATTTATAACACAGTCCAGAAACACCTAACTTTTAATTGACAGGACAAAAGAAGTTTGGACTACAGCTTTCCTTCAAATTTGTTTCAGTGGGAGTACATACTCAAGACACACACCCCAACCCATCAGGAGATGATTTGATTTGGCATATGTAACAGAAAGTCTTCATTTAAGAGTAGATAACACAGGATTTAAAAAAAACGGCATGTTATACGTACACTCAAATTTTGTCAAAGAAAAAAAAGTAAGAGTCAAACACTCCCTTCATAAGTTTAAAAATAGACCATTGAGTGTGTTGGAAACAACACTGAAAGCGTCTTTTAGCATTTAACTATCATTAGATCTAGTCTACCATACAAGGTAATTTCTACCTAGGATACATAATTTATAATCAGTTAACATCAGTGTCATCACCAATATTCACACGCTTCTGACCACCAGTTAAATCACACAATAAATAAAGAAACTTAGCAAAAACTTCAACTCGACACTAAAGAGCACAAAATATTACTGTCAAACATAGAAGTCACTGGTTTGAACAATGATACAAGTTTGAACATCTATCACAGGTCTAATCCGAGCTGTTCAGACCAATTATGAGAGAACACATGCTGGTATCATGAACAACATAAAATACGATGTGAAAAATGTCAACTTGGATAACAAACAATCCAACATATTTTATTTCGTTTTTTAAAAAAGGGAGGGGTAGACAATGCTGTGTTGATTTCAAAAATAAAGGTAAAAACTTATTTTATTATGGAACCCCACAAAGTGCAGCATCCTAGTCAAGTATGATTTAGGAATGTAGACACAAATGAATGAGCAATACCGACTTGCCTCTAACTAACCAAAGTGGAAAGTGTAGCCTCCAAGGCCATCACCGACATTAAATCCTGCACTGGGACCAGCAAAGAAACCAGGGAATCTCCCACATCCATCAAAATCACCAGCTGTGAAAAAATCAGAGGTATATTAGCAGGGCAAGTTAAAAAAATATAACTTAAATAACATAAAAATATGAAACCTACGCCAACCACTGCCCATCCCTTCCATTTCCTCCAAATCTTGGCCACTGTCATATCTTGCTCTTTCCTTGGGATCTGAGAGTATAGCATAAGCTTCTCCCACTTCTTTGAACATTTTTTCCTGTTCAACCTTTTCGGTCTCTGAAGCATTAGAGTGTCTATCTGCAGGAAAATAGATAAAAAAAACACAAACTGAGACCTTGCTATGATTTGTAACAGTAAAAGTGAGCACACTAAGAGTCATGTAGTCATGTTTCTGAAGAAGAATGCATACCTGGATGATGTTCTAAAGCTCTCTTTTTGTATGCTTTTTTAATATCTTCATCACTAGCAGTTTTATCAATACCCAAAACCTTGTAGTAGTTCTTTCGTTTAGATCGTTTTAAGGCTAATTTTGCTTCTTGCAGAAGTCTTCTATTATCTGCAGATATCACAAAATCCAAATGTGTTAGAAAAGCACTAACAAATGTTCAGAGCACAAATTCCATGACATTTACCCCGGGTTCGTTCAATTTGAACAGCCTTTTCATAGTCAAACACAGCTTCTTCCAACATATTCAAGTCAGTGTGACATTTTGCTCTTCGGAGTAAAGCTTTCACATACTTCTCATCCAGCTTGAGTGCAGCAGAGCAATCCGAGATGGCTTCCTGAAGTTTATTCATCTAGACAGAATAAAAGCACACAACTGCTATACGACACAATTTAAAGAACTAAATAGCAAGACTGGTTACATAGCAAATAAGATGGATTTTTGTGATGACTCCTTGATAGACAAATTCCAGATATATCAGTAATTAATTCTGACATATTTATCTACAAACCTTGGAACAGACAGTTGCTCTATTGAAGTACAATTTGGCATTAGTGAAAGTGTTCAATGGGTCTATCAGTAATGCCTGAGAATACAAATCATAAGCTTTCTGTAGTTCTCCGGCCTTGAAGGCTTCATTGCCTGACTCTTTTGTCTGTACAAGAGCTCTTGCGCGCTATAGTGAAAGGAATAAGTTACAAGTGGCATTAAATTTCAGTTTTGACTTTGTGTTTTGGAGGAACATAAACAGTCTTATTTCTTTTAAGTACTCCACCTTGTAAATTTCTTGAGTCTTTTTATGATCTGGAGCTAATTTTAAAATATGCCGAAAGTGGGGAAAGGCCTTGTCGACATTATCTTGGTAATATAAACTCAAACCACGTACATATACAGCATCCACATTTTTATCATCAGCGTGAATTATACCACTGAGTGACACAAAGTACAGCAATACAGGACGGCAGCAATAGTAAGTGAAGTTCAGATAGTATGAATCAATGAAATTTCAAACTGAAGACCTACTTGGCAATTTCCTGAGCTTCTTCATGTCTACCTAATAAGGCAAGGGACTCTGCTTTTATCAATAAGAATCGCTGACAACCACGAACTATTTCCAGTACACGATCCATGAGGAAAACAACCTGTTCAAAATAGATTCAATGGATTTAAAAATAAAAAATCTGTGTAAGCATAAATTTATCTGTGGTCAAAATAAGTTGTACATATTTCCCACCTTCCGAAAATCTTTTTTCTCTAGACATTTTTCTGCATCATCTGTGTACTTCTGTAAAGTACCTAAATTTATTCTTTCAGGAACAAGTTGTGGGTTGTTGGGTTCCATTTCTTGGACTTTCAATAAGGCTTTGTCAGCAGCAGACAAATCACCCATCATCATGCAGCATTTAGCCATTCTTAGATATCCCTTCACAAGTTTAGGGTCAATTTCTAAAGATTTGCGAACATCTGCTAAAGCATCATTGTACTGGTTCAGCATGATGTAACATGCTGCTCTGTTGCCATAGTACGATGCATTATTTGGAGATAATACTGTAAGAATTAAAGTAAGAATTACAGATAACGAATAAAAGAGAAGATTACACTTCAGATAATAATTCATCCATGTGATTTAAACTTACAAATAGCTTCTGTATACAAAGGTAAGGCTTTCTTGTACTGTTTTTTCTTATACAGTTGGTTTCCATTTTCCTTTTTTATTTCAGCAGTTCTGAAAGAACAAATAAAATTGTAATTGTAGTTGTAGTTGCAATTGAATAAATAGAGCCAGATAAGATCATGGAGGTGGAGTAATACAACATATTGATTCAATAACTTAGCATAACTAACATCAACCCACATTTGGAAATTTAAACTTAAAAGAAAGATTGCAGCTGATCAAACTTACAAAACCAAGAGCCTAAAGAAGACTACAGCTAGTTAAGTGCTCACAATGGCTCATCAATGGTATATAAGACAAAATAATCAAAATGACATCATAATCCTGCTAGAGTTAACATATGTTAGAATGGGGGGTGAATTTGCAATTCAATGACAAAGCAAAATAGTGTTTGCACCAACTCGATTTCCATTGAGGTATGCTATGTATTTCAGCAGGTTAGGTTATGGGAGAAGCACAACACTTCCAGAGGCATAACATTGTGCCACACACACAATCAGATGCGGCATCGTCAATGCTCTCTAAAGAATTTTAAAACCAAAATTTTATGAAAACCGGGGGAGACAAGAGTTGACAACTTGAGGAGCAGTTATAGACAATGCCCATGCACAATAGCAGACGCAGGTAGTCATTTTTTGCAGAGCTCGGGAGCCCGATACTCACTTCTCAGGAGTGGTATCAATAACTTCATCTGTCTCTGGCTCCAGGTCTATGACAATTGGCGCAGCAGGAGCCTCCATATTATTTCCCTGAAAGGATTGCTCCTCACGCCGTGTTTGCCGTGATCACTTCCAGCACCCAAGAGCTGAGCACCCAAGAAAGCAAGACTGCAATCAAGGGGGTACGAGAGGACACGGGAAATCGACGGTCAGTCGTGACGTCAGATGCCTAGAATTCTGATGTCTTAGAAAAAAAAAGAAGTTGTTTTTGGAGAGGTATTGGCACTAGATAATTAGCCAGTTTTACTCGCAAAGTGGATTAATCAAATTCCCAAACACCGGAGTGGTATTAAGAAGTTTTAACAGTTGAGGTTGGGGACTTAGTGGAACGAGGATTATTTTGTCGGTGTTGGTCAACATGACCCACCGCCCTCGCGAAACGGATGAGGGAAAATGATGCCTGATAAACATCAGGTCTTGTTCGGTGTACTAGGGATTCCCTGTCACATATTGTCGAATAATTCTTGTGTTACGACGTAGATACAGGTCAGTCAGTTGAAGGTAGTGTTCTAAGCCATTTCAATGTAAGTGTCAGCTGATTATTTAATTTTAAAGAACAGCGAAGTGGGTCTCTCATCCATCATTTGCATATTACTCAGATATTGGAGTGATATGGATATGAGTGGTTATGTTACGTTTTATAGTGTTTGTAGTTTTCGCGTAGCGGTTTTTCAAACCCTGCCGTCATACAATCTACATTGAACTATTAAATTCTGGTTCGGCGTAGTATTGGTTTTCCTCTAAACATGTCATTTGTCCCTGCCAATTTCACTGATTTAATACTATGATGCAACATTGCCCTAGTAAAACGTTTTTGTCTCCAAAACCGCCATGAAAGTCATATTATCTTCAATTTTGACATCACCAGCGGCCTCACATAATGACGTCATTTCGAGAGAAATGTTCATATGCACAGCAGGCCTTTTGTTTTTGTTTCTAATCTCCCTTCAGGCTGGTGGAGTCCACTTGTCCACTCTTAGTCCTTGAAAGCTTGGTCTCTGTCTAGTCAGTTGTAATTTATGTTTAAGTTTAGTGGTACAATTAGGTCACTGCAACTTTTAATAATGTTTGTTCTTCAACTATTAATAATGTTTGTTATTTGCCTTTCAGTTTATTAAGCCATGGGGAAAAAAGGAAAAGGTTGGTCTCTTAAACATTGTCATTTACATCACACTTTGCACACATTATCACAGTTAATGCTTAATTTATTGGTTTATTTTTCAATCTAACTTCAGAACTTTTTTAAAGTTTTCATTTTTGTATTGTTATACTGTTGGAGTTTTATTCACACTATACCTCCCATCTAATTCCCACAGGTAAAGGAGGAGGAGCAGGAGGAAATGCTGCCTCTGGCTCTCAGGGAGGCGCTCAGCAAACTTCAGCTCAATCAGGAAACGCTCAGCGTCAAGGGCAGAACCCAGGTCAAGCACAAAATCAAGGACAGGGGCAAGCTCAAAATCCTGGTCAAGCACAAGGCCGAAACCCAGGACAGGGACAAGGTCAAAACCCAGGACAGGCACGAGTCCAAAACCCTGGTCAAGCGCAAAGCCAAAATCCAGCCTTGGGACAAAGTCAAAACCCTGGTCAAGCTCAGGGACAGAACCCTCGGCAAGCTCAGGGACAAAACCCTACAGCCTGGGGACCAGGACAAAATCCTGGTCAGAATCCAGGTCAGGGAAGAGGCCGTGGCCAGAACCCCGGTCAGGGTCAAGGAAGGGGACGTGGCCAGAACCCCAGTCAGGGTCAAGGAAGGGGACGTGGTGCCCCAAATCCAGGTTTTCAACCTCCTATCCAGCACCAGGGGCCAGCCCAAGTTTTGCCTCCAGGGCAAGCCCAAGGCTATGCTTCAGGGCCTAGGCAGCCACCCTGGGGCCAACCAAGCCCTAATCCAACACAACAAGGACACCCCCCAGGATTTGCTTCAGGGTCTAGGGCGCCACAGCCTTCATCATGGGGCCAACCAAGCCCTAATCCAACACAACAAGGACAACCCCCGGGATCTGCTCCAGGGCCTAGGCCGCTACAGCCTTCATCATGGGGCCAACCGAGTCCACCTCCAGCACAAGGAGTTCCTCCACAAGTTGTTCATGGGGACACTGTACAAAAGTCTTCTGCGCAGTCCGAGTCCTCTAAAGGACCACAACAGGCACCTTCTTCATCGGGTGATGCACGAGTGACTCCTGCTGGTGGCCAAGTTAGCAGGGCTCAACCAGGTATGAAAATACTTTGACTAACATACCCTCTAATAACATAAATAACTGTCTTGTTCAGAATTTTTTTTGTTTTTTGTTTACTTTTAGGAAAGTCCTTTGCCTTACCCCAGCGGGCCAATTGTCCTCCGGACCCCAAAGTAGGAAGACCAATCCAGCTAGAAGTAAACCATTTACTTCTTCAAATTAGAGATCCAACCGTTAAGATTTATCATTATGACGTGGCGATTGATCCAGATAAGCCAAAGCGTTTTATGAGGTAACACCTATTGCAATTATTTGATCTGTGTCATTGACTCTTTTAACTCTATAATATCTTTGCAATTTTTAATTACATAGACTTGTAATGGAGGAAATGCAAAAAAAGTTTTATCCAAGGAACTTCCCTGGTTTTGATGGGAAAAAAAATTTATATAGCAAAGGCCCTCTGCCCTTTAACACAGAGGTAAGTCACACTTAATTTAAATGTTTTTATGTATTTTCAAACTTTTTGGAACACCCAGTCATTGACTTTGTTTACAGATATCTGAAGAGGTGAATGTCAGAGATGACGAACGCCAAGATAATAAACCCAAAACTTTCAAAGTAACCATCAAACTTGCTAGAAACAACATATCGTTGCAAGAACTCTTTGCATACCAAAAGAGTGGAAGGTCAACTTCTACTCCTCAAGATGTGATTCAGGCACTTGATGTGATCCTACGGTCAGCTGGCTCTCAAAGGCAAGTGCTTCCAATTTTGACTAATTTTCTACAATTAATGTTACAACTATAACTTACACACTTTCTCTTTATTTTATTTTACCCCAATCACAGATTTGTACAGGTTGGTCGATCATTCTTCTGTCCTCCCGTATCGCCCATGGATTTGGGTAATGGAATGGAGCTGTGGTATGGATATTTCCAGTCGTTCATAATGGGAAATAAGCCGTATTTAAATATTGATGGTGAGCTACCTTACTGGTTTCTAATAACTTGCAGAACATAGACAATTTTTGCAAGGCATAACAAACTTTAATTTTTTTTTAAATCTAATTATGTAAATTTACTTCAGTGGCACACAAAGGTTTTCCAACATCTCAGTCGCTTCTCAAGCTGCTGAAAGCATTTGATTCAAGGTCAGCAACCCCCGAGGAAGCCATGAAATACAATCAACATGAACTGGAAAGGTTTATTAAGGGCTTGAAAGTTGAGTATCAAGTGCCAAATATTGAAACAAGCAAGAGGACATATCGAGTGAATGGCCTGAGAAGGAATGCATTTGAAGAAAGGTTTGATCTAAATTACTCTACTTTTGTAATCAAGTGTATGATTGAGATCACCTGTTCAATTATCAATGTCTGCTTTAGATTTCAGATGGGTGATGATGGCAAAACTATTACTATTGGAGAATATTTTGCCAAACACAAAGGTTATCAATTACGTTTTCCAAATCTTCCTTGTGTGCATGTGGGACACAGAGAAAAGGACGTATTGGTTCCCTTTGAAGTAAGTAGTATGATTTACATAAGGGTATTTGAGAATTAGATGCTTGTGAATTCTCTCATTGATGGCATACAAATGGGTTATAAATTGTCTGTTTTATTCAGCTTTGTGTTCTGCTGCCTGGTCAAGCTACCCAGAAGAAACTTGATGAAGGCCAAACTGCAAAAATGGTTAAAGTTGCTGCCACTAATGTACAAGACCGTAAAAACAAAATAAAAGAAGCTGTAAGTATGACCAACAAGTTTTGCTTCAAGTGGACTATCTCCTGCTATGTGTATATATATATTTTTAATTTGAATGTAAACTGAAAAACTTCACAGATGCAAAGGGCAAATGTTAATGCTAGTCCTCAAGTAAAGGAGTTGGGACTGTCAGTAGCAACTGAATTTGCAAAAATCAATGGTCGTATTCTACCAGCTCCCAAGCTGGCCTACTATCAGGTAAAGATATTGGGTCATCTCTAAATACCACTTTATTTACTCCTCTTGTATCTTTGAGTTTACTTTACTTACTATATTTGTCTCCCTTGCTGGAAATAATTTTTTTACAGAATAGGACTGTTCAGCCTATGAAAGGAGTATGGCGTGGCGGGCAATTCCGGGAGACACGCGCGCTGAAAAAGTGGATTTGTCTTCAAATCTGCAATATTCCCAGAGAAGCACTCAGGTATTTCTATCTTAATTACTTACTTCTTCATCTCTTTAGGGTGTAAATTCTTATCATTCTGAGTTCTATCTATTTAATCTAAACTTAAAAGTATAAATGTTTCAGTTCATTTGCTGAAAATCTGAGGAGTGAAGCGGGCAAAGTAAACATGTTCATGGAAAAACCTGACCCCCCAATAATTATGGATGGCAGGGGAAACCCGCAAAAGATTTTAAAAGATCTTAGAGAGAGACTTGGGGAGCTGAGCAAACAGGGATACCAATTAGTTTTGGTTGTTATAAGTGGTTATAACAAACAAATATATGGTGAGCTGTTTACTCTCAATATACTTAATTTCTTTAATTATGTCTCAAATATGTCAAAATTATGGTCAAATTTGCTTTTACATGTTAACATACCTTCCCTTCAATTTTAATTTTTAAGGCCAAGTAAAGCAAGTTGCGGAACTACAAGTTGGAGTACTGACTCAGTGTGTCAAAGATCTCACTGTTACCAGGCGTAACAACCAAGCAACAGTGCATAATATCATGCTGAAAATCAATGCAAAGTTTAATGGAATTAACCAAGTTATTGACGATAGTTCAAAGTATGTTTCATTCAATAATAATGCACTTAATTATATAATTTTTTCTTTTGGATGCTTCTATTCCAAACATTCTATACCAAACAACATTTTACTTTTCCAGAGTGAAATGCTTCAACAACAAGGTGTTAGTATTTGGTGCTGATGTTACTCATCCTTCACCAGATGCAAAAGATATTCCCTCCGTAGCAGCTGTAAGTTCATGATCCCATTAACCGTTACGGTTACTCCATTTTATGTCTCTATATAATTAATTATTGCCTCAGCTTATTGGTTCCATGAGCTAGAACCTCGTATTGCGGGACAATACATTTCATGAATAAATAAGCATCTAGTATGGTTTATACAATATTGTTTTTCATTTTACCTGCAGGTTACAGCATCACATGATGTAAAGGGCTTCAAGTATAACATGAGAATCCGCTTACAAGCCCCAAGGCAAGAAATGATTGAAGATTTGGAAGCTATTGTCTACGAACAAGTAGGCATTTACAGTAAAGAGACTGGTGGTCTTCCTCAGCATGTTGTGTTCTACAGAGATGGTGTCAGTGAAGGACAATTTCAGCAGGTTTGTTTCATAACCACATAATTTCAGAATGTCCTACCTCTCCCTTCCAAAATGTAGCAGTTGAGTAAGAATATACAATTTTACTTTCTATGCATCCCATAGGTCCTTGGGATTGAATTAACTGCTATTTTTAAAGCATGTGCGAGACACAGCTTTAAACCAAAAGTAACCTTTTTGGTGGTCCAGAAACGTCACCATACAAGGTTTTTCCCAATGAACCCACGTGATTCCGATGATAGAAATGGTAATGTTCCGGCTGGAACAATTGTTGATATGGAAATAACTCACCCCAATGAAATTGATTTTTATCTGGTTAGCCATGCCAGTATTCAAGTAAGTTGTTTCATATGAATTTCCAGTTTGGACATGAACCGTTTTATTTCATACACTAATTGCTTTTTTCTTTTAGGGTGTTGCTCGTCCTACCAAGTATCATGTGCTATGGGATGATGCGAACATGTCAGAAAATGACATACAACTAATGACGTACAATCTATGTCATCTTTTCACGCGATGTGATCGTGCTGTGTCATATCCTGCGCCTACATATTATGCTCACCTTGCTGCTTCACGTGGTCGAGTTTATTTGGAGGGGTAATTTATTATTGTTTTCTGTACTTACTTGTAATGAAAAATTAATAACTCTGTTTTGGTACTAATTATTGAAAAATATCATTTACAGGAAAAGTGTGAGATGTGAAGAAAAGAAAGACTGGGTGAAAGAAAGTAAAATCATTCAAACAGCTCTCAACTTCACCCAGACCTCTCCAATGTATTTTGTTTAGACATATTCCATGCATACTCAGTGATTCATTTTAAAAGTCTGTTTTGCTGTTTATGTCACTTCTTATATTTTATCTAACCTTTATCTCTATCTATGCTTGATTATACATCATTATTTGAAATTGCATGGCCTCAAAGAGGCAGTTGTGTCTCTTGTCAATTTGATAACTTTTTTCTTGTTATCATTTGAATCAGTCAAATGGGAATCTCTGGTAACTTGTGATATTTAGTAAAGAAATAACTTTGTTGTTAAATGTAAAATTGTGTTAAAGGCATATGTGTATAGCATATTTGATTTTTGGACAATATTCACATCTTTCAACAGAAACAGTAATCACATGCATGTTAATGTTTACTTTATTTGGCTTTTGTTTTCTCTTTATTTTTTGCACCAAAAGTTTTCTTATTTAAATAGATAAGAAAATTCTTTTGTTTTTCTAAGTATTAAGTTGTTTCAATAAAATAATCTTGTAAATAAACCTGCTGGTTGACCCGGTTTACCTCTACCTTCGTGTCATTATATGGTATGGTCTGTTTGTATACCAGAATGAAACCATCAAAATGACAGGTACTCATAATTAATTACCATTGTGATCTATGTGACCTTCAAGGTCGCTGTACTTAGCACATCTGAGGTCACTAACTGAGGGAAAAATAACTCTCTAATGTTATTGTGACCCCCTTGACAACTTAATGACAAATTCGTTTACCTGGGGCTAGCCGTATTCATGCTGGTTTTGACGGAAGCACATCAATAATCCTGTCCTTTAGCTAGAAGGGCGTCATTCCCTATTCCCTTGAACATCTATTTTTCTAGTGCTCCAGCCCTCAGCAAATAAAAGTAAAACTAGAGGTGGAATCTGCGAACAGTGTGGCCCCCGATAATAACATCGTAAGGTGCGGGTGCGTCTAAATGACCTTGATAATACCGAGATACCGATAAGAACCACTGTCCAGACCTACCGAACCCCGCCCCAGCCCCG